TATTATTACAGGGATGACCAGGGCACGTGCCAGCGTAGATTCAACGCTGGGAACCCTTGCTCCGCCCTCGGCCAGTGCATCCAGCACGCGGAGTGTGACGTCACCACGAGTCAGCGCTGCACGTGCGACGCGGACTTCTTCGCAGACGAGGCGGGCTCGTGTCGCGAGCGGCGGAGGGCGGGGCGAGAGTGCTGGGGGCGGGGCCAGTGCGTGGCCCACGCGGCGTGCAACACGGCGACGGGCTACTGCGACTGCGAGCGCGGTTACTATAACGACGCCGGCGTGTGCCGCACTCTCGTGGCTGCCGGGGAGCCGTGCCGCTCGACCAATCAGTGCACGTTTTACTCCGACTGTCTCTCCGCGTCGCCGCTAGATATAGGAGCTGCAAGCGGGAGTGGTGCTGATGGAAGACGGGATAGGGGTGTTGGAGGAGAAGGAGAAGGGGGCGATGGTGGTGGTGGTGGTGGTGGTGGAGGAGGCAGCGTGACCACCGTCTGCACGTGCAGGAGCGAGTTCTACAACGCGCGGGGTGTGTGTGTGGAGAAGGAGCAGCCGGGGTCAAAGTGCACGAGCTTCGGCCAGTGTGTGGCGAGGGCCCGCTGTAGCCCGATGAGGGGCGTGTGCGAGTGTGAGGAGGGATTCTTCCAGGCCCGGCTGCCAGGTGAGTCAGTTTAGTTTTAGTAGAGGTTTTACGAGTAACATGCAAAGAAAAATGAGGAGAGAGGAGAGAAAAAAGGCTTAACTGGGGAAACAAATCTGTGACTGACTTGTGTGGATTTTTTTGTAGCTTTAGTAAGTGTTTTAACGCACTTGCAAGACAATAATTAAGTGCTGAAGATTAGAGGTGTTACAAGAGAGTAACAAACATAAAAAAGAAGGGGAGATAAGGACGACAGATGTTTGACAGGAAAGAAGAAGAAAAACTACACCAGAGCACCCACAAACCACCCACGGGTTAGTCATGAGATCTATCAAACTAACGTCGAGATTCTGCTCAAGACAGTCATCGTTCAAAATGGTCACATATTGTTGTGGTTGACTTAGACAGGTAGGCGTAGGCATATTGGATAATGTAAGTCTGATACCATCGTCCAAGACGTCCATCTATTGTTGAGGAGACAAGTGTCCATTTTAGACAGGTGAACGTATCAGACAATCTATTATCTATTTGCATATTTCTTCACTCCCAGGTGTGAACAAGTTGGGCTGTCTCCCGCTGATAGAGGCGGGGTCAGCCTGTGAGAGGAACGGGACTTGTGTGGACTACTCTGACTGTATAGGTGAGTGGGTCTGTCTGTCTGTCTGTTTGTCTGTTTGTAGGTGTGTGTGTGTGTGTGTGTGTGTGTGTGTG